GCACCTACTGTATGGAACTGTTCTATAGAACATGAATATTTTATGTACCATATTTAATATTTTATGTTACCTGTCTGATGTCGTACATCTGTGCCACACACATTGTAACACCCAGAAAAATATCTTAGTATGCTTGACATACATGGCAAATAAAGTGATTCTGAGTCTGAGCTACGCTGCCTGGGCCCCATTCCACTGCCCACCTCTCACAATCAACTGCACTGCTATTCAGATTGCCGGCTGTTTTTCGCAGGCCTCGGCAAACACTTTGGAGGACAGTGACTCCCTGGAAATCTAGGTAAGGCTCAAAGAGTCCCCTATAGCACTCATCACTCACCTGTCACCTGAAGACCCAAAACAGGAAAGATTAACACAATATTATGGGCAGTAACACTGAGGTTAATGCAGAACAAACCTGTAATGTCAGATATGGCTGTTAGTAGCAGCTATGACACTGTTACTAGTTGTTGAGATGAGAATCCTCACAATCATTGCATATGTTGGCAGATGAATTTAAGGGGTAAATTGGTAGTACTTGAGGAGATTTTGCTACTATAAAGCTTGTAGTGTAGCCAAAATTATTTGTACACTGTGAAAAAATGGTCCAAAATGAAAATGAAATTGAAGATATTGATTGTGAAATTTTATGGCCCTCTTTCTCAATACATTGGGTATTTCAGCAGTTTTAAACATGCTGGGAAACTCGACTAACCCCACAAATGCTTGAATGATCACCAAGGCCAGGGCCAGAGTGGAGCCAATGCTCAGCCAAGGAGCTTCATGCCCATGACCAGCCCACTTTTTTTTCAGGAAGGTGAAAACTGGATAAATGAGGCAATACTTCACTTCTTATTATTCACTGGTTTTATTAGTTTTTTTTTTTCAAATATGAATGAAACAGAAGTCAAATGAATAAATAATATCAAAATTAATCTCGCAGTTCTTCACATGTGAGGCATGTTGCACTACTATACAAAATTTTACCTATAAATGGCTTAAACAACAATAACATAATATCTATAACAGTAGCCATCTATAACAGTAACAGCTGCCTGAGTAGTGTACTGGTCTCTGCAACTTTGTTTATTACCGTCTCATTATCTATCAACATAAGGATTTCCTTCTCTGTGCACATTAGCACAAAGGCCTCCAAGTGCTCCTGAGTCAGTGAGCTTCATAACCTATTCTTAACAAATTTAAGGGTAGAGAAGCTTTTCTCACAGGCAATCTGAGTGATTGAAAGTGTCAAAATATTTTTTCATATACAACACAATACATTTGTGCCTGAAATATGCTGTACAAAAACATATGACTTATTAGTCTTCTAATTTCTGGCATCCTCACTGCTCATCAGTCCCTCATTCTTGGCAGAACACCGACTGACAGGGGACTGCTGGTCAGAAACTACAAAATGGTTAAATGGTCACTTTACTGAATACTCAGATCATGCCTTAGTTTTTTATATACATTTTTTTTCTTAAAATTACATTTGCGCACACATTGATTCTCCATGATAAGCTATAGAAATATGCTAATATTTGAATTGGTTTAATATTTTGCAACAGGTTAACCACATTTACCTGTTGCCAGTTTTTTTCATTATTTTGAAAAAATCTCTCTGATTTTGACACATTTGGCTGCATCCTCCTCCAACACTCTTTTTTTTCTTAGCCTGGCCTTTTCAGCCCCTCCTGGTCTCTTCTTTTCCATACTGTTACACTAACTGCTATTTTACTAAGTTAAACAACCTGTAGACTCAAAGTTGGACTGTTGGGCGTAACCAACTTGAACAATTGGGAAGGGGAGAACTCCCGCAGGTGTTAGCACCCATGTAATTTATCATTATAGAAAGGCTGCAATGTCAGCTGTAAATGTGGATCTTACGTGCTACTGTTTCAGATTCACTTTCAAATCGAATTATTTTATTTCCGACCGGCCCAAAAGTCAAGCGGCCCAGCGGGAAATCTCCAGAATCTCCCGATTAGTCACTCCGGGCCTGACCAAGACTACTTGTAGAAACTAAGGGCACCCAATTACCATTCTCTTTGGAACACCTGCTGTTATGTATTATGTTAAATGATCTCTGTTATGACTGGGAACTCCTCCATTGTCACATATTCGTTGGACCCTATGAATGGCCAGGTGTACAAATAATTATTCAAAGGCAATAAATTACATCATTTGAAAACAATTCCAGAATATGTTTTGAATAAAAGTGTTTCTTGTTTCTTTACATAACACTCATAATAGTAACATTTTAGACAGCTTTTAAAGTTTGCACTTCAATATCCTCAATTTCATTTCCAATTTTGACCATTTTTACAGTGTACAAATAATTCTTGGCTACACTATGTATTGTTTGCTGTCATGTTGTATGTTCATACCAACTCACTCTTTCATAACTCCAATCTTATTATAGTCCATATTGCTTGTCCATAAGTGCAACTCCGTATTTCTTAGGTCATTTTGAAAATTTAAATACTGCATCACTTTTACAGTATATCTGGTGGTCATTGATATTACTTAGTAAGTTTGATATTACATTTGTAGCTTTCAATCGAGACGTTATGAATAAATATTCGTACTGCACTTACTGATGCTAGTCACTGAGACTAGCATGGTCTGGTGCTGCCTTAGTTTTTAACAAAGTAGAAATTCATCAGTCACTTGCCAAAAACAGGGAAATATCTCAGCATAATTTTTTGTATGGTTATTTATCCATCTCCTTCCTAAGTAGGTCGAGCATTTTTCTTTCCAGCTGGCACTGCTTCCCTCAGCCAGGTCTGTCAGCCTCACTGAGGTTCAGGGTAGGAAACATTCAGCTGGAAACCTTTCAAAGAATCCAGTGAGGTTAGCTTTCCCGTGCTTCTTTTCAACATCTCATCACTAGAGAAGGTGGTGCAGGCAGCTTACAACAAACGCAAAGTTCTTCCTGCTCTGCATCACCAGAGAATTTTAAATATTATGAAGCAGCCAGGGTGGGGTCCAGGCAGTCCATGAACAGCCTGCAGAGTAACGCTTCGTTGCTGGTCTGTCAAATCATCAAAATTAATTTGGATCAGACGAGAAACATCTGCCATAACAGGACTCCAACAAGCAGTTATTTGGCTGTCCTGCTGCTCTTTTATTGGGGGGGGGTGCTTTTATTAACGACACTTGCACATGCTTTCACAACTGTGCAATGCACAATGCACTGCTCTCCTCACAGTCTTGTCCAAGAAATACGTCAGAAAATCCTGTCTACATACAATGCTTGAATATCCTGTAGCTGTATGGCCATGGTGAACCAGAAAGGGCTAGTAGAGAAATGAGATTAGGCCTCATGAGGTCCTACCCATACAGACAATGATAGTATGAGGGGCATGTGTAACACAAAATGGTTTAATGTCTTGAACCAGAGCTGGTACAATGAGGGCCAAAAATAGCTGCGTGGCTAAAAAAACAGGCGACAGTCATAAACGAAATGCAGATGAGCAAACGCACAAAAGCACAAGGCATACAAGTGGTTGTAAACAGACAATAGTCAAAAACATGCAGGCACAACCCACTCCTCTACCGTACTGATCATCGCAGTGAAGTTCCATGGCTTGCTTGGTCACTGTACCCAATTATAACCCTCCAACCCACAGCTTCATTCATATGTGCTTCAGTATGATGGATACTTCCTGAGGAGCAGGTTTGTGTCTTCTGACTGCTATACGATGACTGGCTAATGGCTCTCTGACATAAAATAGAGTACTTTCTGGACCATTTGTAGATGACGGGCACTTTACACAAACATGTGAGCAGTTAGTGAAGCATTTAAACTGAATGATCAGAAAATATTCAACTGCATAACATTTAAGACACAAAAAATACAACCTGAAGAACATGGTGAAACTGGTGATAGGGAAAGCCCAGTCATGTTAGAAGACATGATTAACTCTGACTGAACCACTCTGTCACACAAAGTGACACTGTGACTGAGCTGTGACCCTGTGACTGTGCTGTTACCTCACCGTCATTCGGATGTTGTGACTGAGCTGTGCTGTATTGTGGTGCTGTGACCTTGCCGCAATTTGGATGCTGTGGCTTAGCTGTGCTATTTTGTGGTGCTGTGACCTCACCATGATTTGGATACTGTGACTGACCTTTGCTATTTTGTGATGCTGTGAGTCGCCGTGAATTGGATGCTGTGGCTGAGCCCCTGTTCACTGCATGTCCAGTTTACAGAGGTAAACATCCCAAAAATGGAGGGTTTAAATACTGGGACCTCTCTCTCAAAATCAATGTCCTGCTCAATCTGCATCTCATCTGCATAGCATACAGTCTCTCCCAGAATTCAACAGGCTCTGCCAGGATCAGGTTGTTATGGTGACAGTTTCAAATCCTGCTCCAGACCCAATTTGGATGCTACCCAGAGGTGACACACTTAAATCACTTTAAAGTTGAGTGACAGCAGGCACAGGAAGAAAACAATGTTAAAACTACTCCAGGAAATGGCTCCAGTGTGCAGGCAACTCTCCCATAATGCATCTATAACAAAGGAGGTACCAGGGCTAGGGAAGGTGGACCTGATCAGGACACATTTCATAACTAGAATAAGCTCAGACAAATATGGGCCACACATATTGATCTAATTACATAAACAGATATATTTTAAGCTTTAATAGTGCTTGTGTTGTTGTTCAAAGTTGCCTTTTTGGCCAGGAGGTTGCTTGGTAAAGTTACACCCAGTTTGAGAGGTGCCTGTGATGCATGCTGACAGGAAGTGTATGCAGCTCAAAATGTAAATCAGTAGACGACCTGCACTCAGCAAGCGACACGGTGTGTCTGATGGCTCTACAAGCTACTACACAGAATCAGCAGTAGGCCATACTAGTCTAACATAGAACTGCAACTTCATGCAGCTTCTTATGTGGTATATCATGTCCAGCTGTGAAGAAATAACCTGCGCAGACCCCGTTGCATTGTGAGATATATCACTTGGTGTGACATGGATGTTCTGAATATGCACTCACCAAAGATGTTGGTGGAATGTCCCTTCTTGGCCAACGGCTTAAGCTCGTTGTGTCCCCAGCCATACTGCCGGTAGCTGTCCCAAGCATGCTTCATCATCTGGAACATAAAGTGACATATGGTGTGTAACACGGGCTGTCTGTCAGCTGCCAGATTCACTGTGGTGCAATGAGCTTCCAGAACCCAGGACTTTATAACCATGGAGATTTTACAACCACAGTTCCATACTGTAATATACTAAACTATACTACACGATGCTATGTTATGCTACTCTATACTATAATAAACATATCGATATGCAGACACGCATACCTCCACAGAGCAGCAGGCCTAATTAGACACCATAAGAAGCAACATACACATTTGTAACATGTGTACACACATCCATATTCCAGAGTTGCTACAAATTCATACCATGTTACAGATACAATTGATGATGATAACTGAGCTAAAGATGGTTTTTTTATATATGCCCATACAGAATATAAAAATGAAAAAGAGGCCATGTAGCGGTGGTTTTTCCTGTTGTGATACTGTAACCCAAATTCCCTCACAACATTTGACATAAGACATTGCGATATGAATCCAACATAACATAGCCTCCCTCTGCAAAAGAAAAATACATTGTAAAGTCTACACAAAGTCCTGTTTGTGTCTGTGAATGGAGGAGCGATGGATGATGATGTTCCTCGGTACATAACAGGCACTGCCCGTCCCCTATTCACAGTGCCAAGCACTGCCGAATCATAGCACCAGGTACCACCCAGCCCCTAATAACAGTGTCAGTACCCAGTCAGACTGCGCACTTTTTCCACTAGTTCTGCCCACTATCACAGGTCTAAGGGTGCTTTTCCACAGCACAAAGTATGGTACTTTCGGTACAAAGTATGGTACTTTTCCATTGACTTCCGGTCGAGTACCAGTACCGAAAGTTCCAGTACCGAAAGTGCCAAACCAGCTGGGGTGCTTCTTTGGTATTTCGGTACTTTGGGGTGGGACTTGCAAAAGTATTTGCTGTCGATTGGTTATGCAAATAGCCTGCCACTGAAACACAAAATACAACCGCCATCTTTTGAAACACACAGCAAACAGTGAGAAACAAAATAAAAAACAGTAGAAACAAAAATATAAAAAAGTAAAATGGAAGGATGGACAAACAAGGAAACACAGGCTTTAATCGCCATATGGTCGGGTGAACAGATCCAGCGGGATTTGAATGGCAGTTTTTGCTGTTCCAGGCAATTCAGTTTCCCTGTTTACCCTGTTGCGCACTGATTTGTACATGCTTTCGTTGTTGTTTTCATGTTTTTTTATGAAGCTCTTGAGGTAAACAAGCCGTATATTTTAAAACATCACATGCCTTTTCGATGTTTTTTGTTTTTACAGATAATAAATGAAATTATTTAATTTGCTGGATAGAGATATTTCTTGATGAAAACGGTATAGTATTGCTTATAAGACTATATTATGCGTAACAATCTATTGTATTCACATGTAATAAATTACCTGAGTGATTTTCAGACATCTCACATACACCTTTGCCTAAATATTAGGAGAAACATTATTTCCTGACATCCAGGATATTTGGTTCCCCCCTATTAAAACAGATATACAGCAACTCTGGGCCTCGGTACTAATAACAATACAGTATTCACATGTAATAATGTACCTGAGTGATTTTCAGACATTTCACATACCTCTTTGCTTTAATATTAGGGGAAACATTATTTCCTGATAGACNATAGACAGGAGAAACATAGGGAAACTTGAATTGCCCGGAACACCGTAATACCAAGCCGCTTGGAAGAAATGGGGCACACGCGAAACACCGAACAATGCCGCTTGAAAATCAAAAAACATAATTAAATAATTTGTCGCTTTCAAAAGACTGAATTAGCAGTAAGCTAATTCTTACTGCATTGAGCGGATTAGCCAAAGTAAGTATACCTACATAAATGAAAATGATGGCAGCATTCATGCAATTTGGATATTACTGAATCTTATACTGTGATAGAAGGTGACATAACATGACATAACAATAAACCGCATTTTCCAGCCTACATTGTTAGTTTTAATTTTGGGCTGTTTTTTTTTTTTTTATTATGATTTAAGCTGCGCTTTGTGATGGTGCCGGTACCATTTTTTACGCCAGTGGAAAACCGACACGAAAGAAGTACCATACTTTCGGCACTTCATGGAAGTACCGAAAGTACGGTACCTGGTGCGGTGGAAAAACGCCCTAAGTGTAACAGGATTGTGCAATATTAAAAAGAGATCTCTGAAAGTTCTCTGTTAACTTAGTGTAAGACTCATTGCTCCAACATCATGACAGAGCGTGAAACTGGCTGTTCTCTCATCGACTGGTCAGTGATCATCTTCTTTTTCCAATGCAAATAGCCAATTCCAGGATTCAAAATGACCAATCAACGAAGTGAAGAAATCAGCCACTGTTCCTGACTCCAAAGTCTCAAAACTCAATCGGTTGAGCGAGCAAGTGTTGGGGAGACGCAAGCACGTAGAGAGGGTCCAGCAAGTGTGAGCGCGTAGAGAGAATGGGTTTTTCTGCTCGTGAGAGCATACAAGTGTATGTTTTTATGTGCGCATGTTTTGAGACTAACTGATCACCATAAGTCTGAGTGTCTGGGCTTGCGAGTGTCCTGGTTAAAAACCAAGACCCAGGCCTTTAATGTGTTTGCACAAGTACAGGTACATTGGAATTTTTCTCTTTTGCCTACCCTATCTTGCTTCCCATAGCTTTTCGGTCACAGCACAGGGTTAGCGAATGTGCAATTCTGATTATTTTTTTGGATGCATCATACTCCAAAACCCATGGTCTGCAAAGAGCTTTCAAAACATGAATGAGATCTCATCAGTCAAAGGTATCAATCAGAAGAACAAGATGAGGATGTCCCTCCAAAACTGATGAGAAGACAAGGAGAAAACTGGTCTGGGAGGCCACCAAGAGCCTCCAGCAACATTAAAGGAGCGTCATAATTTCTTGGCAAGTAATGGTTGTTCCTTACATGTGACAACAATCTCTCGTCTTCTTCATATGCCTGGGTTGTGGGGTAGGGTAGCAAGACGGAAGCCTTTAGTCACAAAGTAAAACATTTAAGCCCAGCTAAACTTTGCAAATAGGTATATACTCCTCTCCCACAACCATATGGAAAAAATGTATTATGGTACGATGAAATCAAGGTTGAACTATTTGGCCATAATTCCAAAAGGTATGTTTGGCACAAAAATTACACAGCACATCATCAAAAGAACATGACAGCCACAGTGGTGGAGGCAGCATCATGCTTTGAGGCTGCTTTTCTTCTGCTGGAGCTGGGATTTCAGTCAAGGAGGATGGAATCACGAATAGCTCCAAATATCAATCTATTTTGGCATAAAACCTTCAAGAATCTGCTAGGAAGCTGAAGATGAAGAGGAATTTAACCCTTCAGCATGACAATGACCTAAAGCACACACCTAAATCAACAAAGCAATGGCTTTGCCAAAAGAGGATCAATATTCTGGAATGGAGCCCAGCCAGAGCCCAGACCTTAATCCAACTGGAAATCTGTGGGGTGACCTGAAGAGGGCTGTGCACAGGAGATGCCCTCGCAATTTGACAGATATGAAAAACATTTGTAAGAGAGAATGGGCCAATATTTCCAAATCCAGATGTGCAACACTAATAGACTCTTACCCAAAAAGACTGAGAGCTATAATGAAATGAAAAGGTGCTTCAACTAAGTATTAATTTAGGGCTGTGCACATTATTGCAACCAGGTTTTTATTTTGTTCACTAAAGTTTCTGATTTTTTTTCACCTTCTTTGTATAGGTTGCAATTTCGCAATATAGGTGAAATTAGTTCTGTCAAGATTTGTCTTAGTTTCATTTTTTTATCACACAAAAAACAGCCATTTTGACAGGTGTGTCTAGACTTTTTATATCCAAAGTAACATTATTCCACTAGTAAGCATTGGTAAGTCTCACTGCTAGGATTGGCAACATTAGACAAAAGTATAACGATTATCGATTAAATTTTCCAATGCAGAAATATAAGGATACAAGCAAAAAGGTATTCATCCATTTAATGTAATTGCGATACAAAAATAATTCTATCTGCGATGGGAATGTGACAGAAGTTTGTTGTTTCTGAAAAAAGTCCTGGTAACATTCATATTCGACATGGGCCTTTTTCTAGTTTAAAAAGGCTGTTTATTAATGTCTTTACTGAGCAGGGAGCCTTGTTATGCTCTGCCATACTGCAAGTAGGATCTCAGGCCAGTCACACAAAACACTAGTGAGCGTTATGTTAAGAGGAGGGCTTTGCATGCTCTCATTTTCTCCACCAAGGGGAGCCATTCCTGCAGAACACATCACATACTTCCCCCATCCAAAATCAAGGTACATAGGTGCTTACACCCCTGACACATCACATTTAATCAAATGCAGGTTGCTTAAGGGAGCCAGGGCAGTAATGAGATGACTGTTTCACACGGTTGTAAATGGATTATGATACACTAGGCAAAGGTGATAAATTCTCATTAAGGAAAACAATTGCTGATAGACCCTCTCATAGCAACAGGGAGTAACTGCCACCTGGTGTGTGTGTTCGTGTGTGCATCCATGCATGTGAGTGCGTGCGTTTGTGTGATCTGTGACTCTGTGTCCTATAACATTGTCCTGGGAATGCTGGAAAAGAAATGAGCCCTGCCAAGGATGAGGATTAGGAGCTATCTACTAGAAATTAACCGATTTTCCCAAGGCCTCCTTGTCTCTGCATACTGGCCAATCACACACATCATACTGAGATGCACCAATGGAGTGCAGTGCAGAGAATTAGAGAGATATAATTGCTGGTCGAGGACCTTATTTAAAGACACACTAAAAAGGTTAAATGCTTGCCATGTTTTTATAATAATTAGCTCGTAACAAATCCTCCTCCATTTAACTGAGAACTTAATATCTTAAAGGGGCTCCGTGGGTTGATTTTGCCACTAACTTTGCTTAGTATTTTCTAGGGCCGGGAAATTTATTGTGTTAATGCATTGCATTAATTTTGGTAGACCCTTGACCCCTGACTACCACAACAGATGGTAACCTATCACAACAGTGCTTGCTTTCATGGACAGCAATATGGAGGAGGTGAAAGGGGAATTTCCCAACAGGAATCAATAAAGTATCAATCATTATGATTAGATGAACTTTACTACTCCCACAGAAAAATTCTTGCTAAATATCTAGCTAGTTATTTTATTGAAGGCTTACGCCTTAAAATCTTAATGACTTTCATGTTATTAGGTGCACATTCAGTGGTTGTCAAGCTTCTGTTTTTAGAGCCATTTGCTAAACAGGCTTTAGACCTTTGCATATGCCACTTATCACCATGGTGGGCGATTTAAAAAAATCATTTTGCTTCCCTACTTAATCTGTAAGTCTCATGATTCGATTATGATTCATGGGGTAACAATTTGATTATAAACCGATGCTTGACTCATCACGATGTATCTCATCTATAATTTGCTATGCAAATATTCAGATTAATTTAAACTTTGTTTGTGACATGCTATTCTGTGATAACATTTTGCAATAACCCTACAAAATGAGTACCTATGTGGCTTAATTAAAGGACTCTACTTTGTAGCACATGAGACAGCAGCTGCAAGTCATCACTAACATACTATGCAGTTAGGGCTACATACACATCTGTAGTTATGGCCATCCAGGAATCGCACAAGATAGCCACCCAGCCAGCACGTTTCACTGACTCCTTAACTCCGGCTTTCGTGTCACTGAATAGAGCGGGTGTAGCCGTGTGGAAAAAAACTCCATGGTGGTATTCTGTACATTTGTTCCAAGGTACACAGAAGAAGGCGATAGCTTGCATTTTCCACGACAGAATAAGGATGGAGATCCCTCACAGTAATTGCAGCAATAGATTGCGTGACTTTGTTTGCCCTTTTGAAGTTTGGAGCTAACGCTGATATCAGAGCTTCTTGCTGCTGAACTTTTTGCTTTCACTATGCCATGTTTTCCATCTGCATGGCACACCTGGCACAAAAGTTTAAAGTAGCTTCCGGAAGGCAGACTATTGTTTCAAAATAACTTTACTTAAATTTATTTAATTGTATATTTGAATATAGTTTATCTATATACGTTTTCTAAAAGAATTCCTTTTTTGGCATTGATGCAGAACCTTTAACACCTGCACCACGATGCCTCATAAAAATGATTATTTGCCCCACTGCTACTTTGAAAGCACTGAAACATATTTTATGTTGGAAATTCATAATCTGTACGTCATGAGAATTTGTTGCTCGGATTTGATGATTTTTTTTAAAAAAAACATTTCCCCCAAATGGGTAGCCAATCAACACAAAACTAGATAAAATGTTTTTAGCTATTTCAATTTTATTTCATGTAGCCCCCAATAAAAAACAAATCAATTTGTATAATGAGATGTAAAGTCGATAGTTTACACGATACATTTTATTTAAAGAAAATTATTATTATTATAATGAGTTCATGTGTCTGACCCATATGCTCCCCGTTGTGTTAATTTTGCATTAATTTAGGAATTCAATGTGTGAATATTTATGATTGTTTTATTTATGAGGTTTTAATATTAGGTACGATTAATCATGATTAATCACAGGCAACTGTGTAATTGATTTTTTTTTTTTAATGCATTCACAGTCCTAGAATTTTCTTTCCGAGATTTGCTGCAGGAACAATCTGATAAATAGTTTTCCTGCCAAAACGTCTTAGTGGTGGTCGCCTGCACAAGAAGGCAGGGTTGGGGCACAGAGTTTATAAGTGCATAATCATCAGTTGTGTCACAAAAGTCAGTCACTTAAACACAAAGGTTAGCTGTATTCTCACAGGCTGATACAACCCACACTGTTTGTTTTGCTGCTATTGGTGAAGCCCCATATTATCCATTCATGATTTACTTAATAGCAGTTTCGTGTTTCCCTGTACAAAGCCAAACGGCAAACTGGAGATGGACGCCCTTCTCCTGCCCTCATCCTGACCATGCCCCCAGCCACCCCCCTGCCACAGCCTGTGACTGACCTCTCGGATCTTGTCGCGCTTCTCCTTCACCTCAGGGTCCCCAGGGTCGCCGTCATTGATGCCCACTAACCGAGGCATGGGCACTGGAGACAGAGGTGGGGCTGCAGCCTCCTTCATGTGGAGGTCCTGGGCCATGCGGTTCTTTTCTGTCTGGATTTCAGCCCGTAGCTCTTGGTGAGACTTTCTCAGCTTTTCCTTGGCCTCCTGCAGGGCCTGCTCATGGGCAGCACGGATCTTTCTCCTCAGGCTCTCCTCTTCCTCCCTGTGGGCACAGAGAGGGAGGACGGGGAGACTCAGGCACAGGCAGGAGCATGAAAGCATATACACCTGGGTGTTGAATGGCTTTGGCTTAGATAGTGATCAGAAGGTCACCGCCTCTAATATTGTGCTTGGCAGATTAGTCAGGTATCTGTTGGGCCCTTGAGCACCCTGCCTGAAATGCTCCAGGGAAAAAAGGATAAATCACCAGATCCTGTGTTCTAACCACAAGCTTCACTGTCACCCGTGTTTGTCTCAGAGCACAGGAAGATGGGATATATGAAAAGAAGCATTCCAAAATATTTCTGCAAATAAGGAATCATCGTCCCATTTTTTTATTTGGCTAATATAACAGCTTAGCATGAAGCAAAGTCAGAGCATTTAACACTTCGCTTACTGAATTAAGAGGACGAACCAACATGCATTAAGAGCTCAGATGGTCCAAGCTGTCTTATCAGCCGTTACCCAGTGCAACATTGAGACAAAAACTCAAAGTATAAAAGAAGCCAGTGCTCTGCCCATGCTGGGTAGCGAGAATAAAATACTTCACTTAGGGTGCACAGCTACTCTATATGGACAAAAGTACAGGGACACACCTCTTAAACATTGAATTCAGGGGTTTCATTCAGATCCATTGCCACAGGTGTATAAAATCAATCAGAATCAGAATCAGAATTGAGTTTATTGCCAAGTACGTTCACACATACAAGGAATTTGCTTTGGTGGTTGGTGCCAGACTTCGAGAGATGGGGTGGTTAATATATAAATATATATATACATAGAGTATGTACAGGTACTAATATAAATAGTCAGTTAATGTGGAATATGATACAGCAGTGGAAATATATACATATTTAAGAGAGTGCATACTTGTGCTAGGATGGGGAAACAGTATTTGAGCAAGTGTTCCTAGCTTTATTGATGAGGCGGGCCGCGGTGGGGAAGAAACTGTTCCTATGGCATGATGTTTTGGTCCCAATGGACCGCAACCTTCTGCCAGAGGGGAGAGTCCAAAGAAGTTTGTGACCAGGGTGAGAGGAGTCAGCCATAATCCTTCCTGCTCTTTTCAAAGACCTGGACTCGTACAGGTCCTGTAAAGATGGAAGGTTGCAGCCGATCGTCTTCCCAGCAGAGTGGATGATGCGCTGTAGTCTGTTCTTGTCCTTAGCAGTGGCAGCAGGGTACCAGACAGTGATGGAGGTGGTGAGGATGGACTCAATGATGGCAGTGTAGAAGTGCACCATCATAGTCTTTGGCAGAATGAACTTATCCAGCTGCCTCAGGAAGAACATTCTCTGTTGAGCTTTTTTGGTGAGAGAACAGATGTTCATCTCCCACTTAAGGTCCTTGCTGATCGTGGTGCCCAGGAAGAGGAAGTACTCCACAGCAGTGACTGGTGAGCCAAGCAGGAAGAAGGATATAGGTGGGGCAGAGCTTTTCCTGAAGTCCACAATCATCTCCACTGTCTTCAGGGCGTTGAGCTCAAGGTTATTCCCATTGCACCAGGACACCAGGTGATCAATCTCCTGTCTGTAGGCAGACTCGTCCCCATCAGAGATGAGTCCGATTAGGATGGTGTCATCTGCAAATTTCAGGAGCTTGACAGATGGGTGGGTGGAGGTGCAGCTGTTTGTGTAGAGGGAGAATAAGAGGGGAGAAAGGACACAGCCTTGCGGAGATCCGGTGCTGATGGTCTGGGAGATAGAAATATGTTTCCCCATCTTCACATGTTGCTTCCTGTTGGTCAGGAAGTCTGTGATCCATCTGGAGTTGAGTGCGTGTAGGTAGGAGAGCTTGTTGTGCAGGAGGGCCGGGATGATGGTGTTGAAGGCGGAGCTAAAATCCACGAAAAGGATTCTTACGTATGTTCCTGGGGAGTCAAGGTGCTGGAGGATGAAGTGCAGGGCCATGGTGACAGCATCGTCTACAGATCTGTTGGCTCTGTAGGCAAACTGCATGGGGTCCAGCAGGTGGTCAGTGGTGGCTTTGAGGTGGCGGAGTAAGAGGCGCTCAAAGGACTTCATAACTACAGGTGTCAAAGCAATGGGTCTGTAGTCATTTAGTCCTGCTATCTTAGGTAGAGGTCTTAAAGCATGCTGGCACATGGCATGACTCCAGTGGGGTGTTGAAGATTTCTGTGAACACAGGAGTCAGCTGGTCAGCACAGTGTTTCAAGGTGAACGGGGAGATGGAGTCTGGACCTGCAGCTTTGCGGGGGTTCAGTTTCTTGAAGACCTTGTTAATGTCCCCCAGTTGGTGTGGGGGAGGTGGTCAGTGGTTGGTGTGAGGAGCTGCGGGGGATGGTGATATGTGAACTGTCCAGTTGTCTTTCAAAGCGGCAGTAGAAGTCGTTCAGTTGATCTGTCTGAGCTCCTTCCAGACAGATGCGAGGTCGTTGGCTGAGAACCGGTGTTGGAGTTTCTCAGAGTACAGTCGTTTAGCATTTCTCACTGCCTTGCTTAACCTGTTCCTCAACTTCTTGTACCTGTCCTTGTTCCCACTTGTGAATGCGTCTTCCTTCTGCAACCTTAGCTGTCTGAGCTTAGCTGTGAACGAGGGCTTGTCATTGTTGTAACTCACCCTGGTGTGTGATGGTACACAGCAGTCCTCACAGAAGCTGATGTAGGATGTTACAGCCTCTGTGTACTCACCCAGGCTATTGGTAGCAGTCCTGAACATATCCCAGTCAGTACAGTCCAAGCAAACCTGAAGGCTCTCTGCAGTGGTGTTGTTCCAGACCTTTGTATGCATGTAGGTATGCAGTCAGCTATACAAACATTTGGGAAAGAATGGGTTGTTTTGCAGAGTTTAAACATTCAATTTGAATTAAAACATGTTACTGTCATGGATGGATGTCAAGGATGCCACCTTTGCAGTAAGTCAGTTCGTGAAATTTCTTTCCTGCTAGATATTCCACGGTCAACTGTAAGTAGTAGTATTGCAAATGGAAACATTTAGGAAGAACAGAAATAGCCACAAAACGGGAGCCCACATAAAGTAACAGAGCATGGTCTCTGAGTGCTAACGCGCATAGCATGTAAAAGTCACCAACGGTCTGTTAACTGAATGACTTCTGAGTTCCAAACTTCCTCTGGCACTAACCCCAGCACAAACACAGCTACATCTAAACCTCACATCACCAAGCACAATGCCAAGTGTCAGATAGAGTGGTATAAAGAATGCCATCACTGGATCTGGAGCAGTGGAAATGTTCTGTGGAGTGATGAATCGTGATGGATCAATCTGATGGACGAGCTTGGGTTTAGTGGATGCCAACGTTACCTGCCTGACTGCATTATGCCAACTGTATTGTTTGGTGGAGGAGAGATAATGAAATGGGGTTATTTTTCAGGGCTTGGACTAGGCCCCTTTGTTTCAGTGAAGAGAACTCTTAGTGCTTCAGCATACCAAGACATTTTGGACAATTCTATGCTTCCAACTTTATGGGAACAGTTTGGTGAAGGCACTTTTTTGTTCTCGTATTACTGTGGCCCAGTGCACGAAGCAAGGTCCATAAAGACATGGTTGGGTGAGCTTGTTGTGGAAGAACTTGACTGGCCCGCATAGAGCCCTGACCTCAACCCCATCAAACACCTTTGGGATGAACTAGAAAGGAAACTGTGAGCCAGGCTTTTACTGTATGTCCAACATCAGTGTCTGGCTTCCCAAATGCTCTTCTGGATGAATGGGGAAAAAATCCCACAGACACACTCCAAAATCTTGTGGAAAGCTTTCCTAGAAGAGTGGTAGCTGTCATAGCTACAAATGGGTAACCAACTCCATATTGATGTAGTTACAATGGGATGTCATAAAAGTTCCTGTAGATGGTCAGGTGTCCCAAGACTTTTGTCTATTTAGGGTATTTAAAATAATTGTCTGATGTTTTTATCCAAAGCCATACATATTTATAAAAACAGGGTCAGACAGTCCCTGGAGTAATTTAGGTTAAGGGCCTTGCTCAAGGACCCAGCAGTGACATCACTCTGCCAGCTGTGGTATTCAAAATGGCAATCTTCAGATTACCGGCACAGCAGCCTAACACACTGAATTATAAGGAAACACCGATAACGAAATTTCTGTCTGATACCGATAGCCAATTATTTCAAAAACTGACACCAATACCAATTGTTTGGGAGGGTCTGCTTAAGTATGTTTAAATGGACACTCCCCCCAAATAAATGAAAAAAATAATTACATTCCAAAAATATGTAAAACAGTTGCCACCCCATCCTGGGTTATTCCCTGCCTTGTGCTTGTAGCCTCCAGGATAGGCTCCAGACCCCCTGGGACCTTGAATAGGACAAGCGGTTACAGAAAATGGATGGATGGATTGATGAAAGTATGAAAAAAAAAAATGTTTTGGTAAGAAAAGACCAACTCTGGCATACAACAACTGTCCCAAAGTTGTAATGATGGACAAAATGACAGTTTATGACCAACTGATGTATTTTTTGACCCCATTAGATGGTGTTCTTGGTTTGCTTTGGGTCATGCTTTGTGCCATTTTTAGTACAGAGAGCTCCATCTAGCAAATGGTTCATGAAGCATCATTTAGTCTATAACGTCAGAGCACTATATTTTATAACTGTATACATGCTATCAAACGCATGCATTACTGACTGGTATTATTCGGCAGTACTGCAGCCTTTTTTATTGGAACGGATTAGTTTTTCAGAAACTCTTCCATACTCTTCACTGCCTGAACTTAAGGTGAGCAATTCAATTTGTGTTGAAATGTTTATTAATCAATCCTCCTCTTGAAATTTCAGCAAAGCAATGTTTACAGAATTCATTTCAAACAATGTTAAAATAACTCTACACAGCAGACATTATTCTAACTGTTTAGTACATGGTGAGCAAAACAAGATGAGTCACTGTTGTAAAGGAAATTATCAACAGTAAATATTAGCTAAAATTTTTTTACCACTGGCCGATGTCCGATTTTTGCTGTATGGACCGATAGTTGGCTGATACAACCGGTGCATCTCTGCAATACACAGAACC